GGAGGAGGAGGAGGGCTGTGGAGGTCCTTGTTGCTCTCTGAGCTTGGCGGTTTTCTTGCAGACGTTTCATGACCCGACTAGGGAACAACATCAGTGCTAGAAGGGAAGGGGGTTTGCTCTGTTTATATACTTGCTTTGTCAGGGTTGGTGGGAGTGTCTTCGATGGTTCCTTGATTCGTTGTTTACAGCTGGATTGTTTGTCTGAGTTGGTGGTTCCTTAACTGGGGTATGGATTGGGTGGGCCAGCCTCCCGCCGGTCAGCCCATCTGGCCTCCAGGTTGGCTTTCTGCGTTGGCCCACCGTGGCTTCCTCACTCGGCTCTCGTGCCACCCTTTGCTTCCCTCCCCACCCTCCCGCCTTGGCCTCGGAGTCCCGTTGGTGTCCCTTGCTGCTCATGTCCATCTTACGAACTCAACCAGGTCACGAAACTGATGGCACAACACTATTTCACCATTTGTACGAAACCGACGGCACAGCACTGTTTCACCATTTGTCGAGACGGGCATCACAAAGAGTTGGAAGAGTCTCAAGAGGTCATCCAGCCCAACCCCCCTTTACACTGCAGAATTCACACCCTCTCGTGCACTGCACTCGATGACCGTTCGGCCTCCGTTTGAAAAAACCTCGGGAAGGGGAAGAAATTCCTCTCTGTCAATCAGTTCCACCGATTGGATTGACAGCTCTCCCTGTCAACAAGTCCTTCCTAATGTCTCACCTATTGATATCTCACCTCATTCCTTTCTCGTCTTACCCTCTGGAGTAGGTGAGAAGGAGCCCGCACCTTCTACAGCAGGGTTTCTCAATCTTAATAACTCTTAAGATAAGGTGGACTTCGACTCCCAGAATTCCACGCTTAAAATGAGTGGACTTCGAGTCCCAGAATTCCATGCTCAAGATGGACGGACTTCAATTCCCAGAATTCCGCACTTACTGTAAGATGCTTAGACTAACTCCCAGAATTCCATGCTCAAGATGGATGGACTTCAACTCCTAGAATTCCCTGCTTAAAAGAGATGGACATTCAATTCCCAGAATTCCACGCTTAAGACGTGTGGACTTCGAGTCCCAGAATTCCATGCTCAAGATGGACGGACTTCAATTCCCAGAATTCCACGCTTGAGACGTGTGGACTTCACCCGTGGTGCTCTTTTCTTCTCCTCTCTCTTATCCCCCCAACCCGAAACACCGCCCCCCGCGTATTCAACCCCCACACACCATTCCCCATCTGGTTTTATGGGCTGTGCCTTATGGGCGTTGTGCTTCCTAAGCACCCGAGGCGATCGGCTTGCCCCACCGTGGATGGAAAGCAAGATGGCTCCCCCAACGCGGCACCTGCCGGAGCAGGTTTTGAAGAGTGGGGGGGAGGGGGATGCGTTCGTCGGCTGATGCCCCTCCCCTCCCGTTCTTGGGAGGGCATGGGGTGTAGCCCCCCCCACGCCCCCTCCCCCAGTTCGATGCCCCTCGCCAGCTCTGACGAAGTGACCCCACGCTGGGCGAATTGGCAACACGTGGCACAGCTGACTCAACCGATGCTTAGCTGGTTTTTCCGAAAAACATGTCTTTATTTTTTTCTCTTGGCACCGGCCGTTGGCACTCTTTTTCCTAGGTGGCATGTGTTGTTTTGTTCATTACGCCCACCTGAGCGCGTTTTCATGGGCACTGGGGGGGGTGGAATGGATTCCTCAGTTTCCTGTTGACTGAGCGGAGGGCCAGGCGAGCGAAACCCTCGGGGAAGTGGAGCATGGGAGCTGGGGTTGGCAGCCAGGAAGGGAATGGGCTCCTGCCAGCTTTTGCCAATCCCTGAGCAGGTGCCAGGAGGAGACCATGGTCGTTACCGTTAGGATGTCACACACGCAACCATGGCCGCCTTTGCCAGGGGCGTGGTAGCTTCCCAAGGAATTGCAACTTGCAACAATTCATTTAGTGACCGCTTGGAGTTACGACGGCACTGAGAAAAGGGACTCGTGACCATCTTTCACACTTAGGACTCTTGCAACCTCCATGATCAAAATTCCGGCGTTGGGCAAGGGACTCGGATTTATGACGGTCACTGTGTCCCAGGATCACAAGCGAAGTCAAGGAGAAATTCAGGTTCACTTAGCAACTGTGTTAGTGCAGCGATTCACTTAACGACTGTAGCCAGAAAGGTCGTAAAATGGGACAAGGTTAACTTAACCTGCAGTCTGACTGTAGCAGAAAATTTGCGTTCAGTCATCATAAATCGAGGACTACCTGTAATTTATGGCCTTCTTTTGCCTTTTGGCCTCTCCTGATACGCTCTGCACACAAAACCTTTCCCCACTTGGCCAGAAATTGTTACAGGTGGTCCTCAACTCGTGACCACAATTCAACTCAAAATTTCCATTGCTAAGCAAGACATTAAGTGAGTTTTGCCCCATTTTTACCCCCTTTCTTGCCGCCATTGTTAAGCGAATCCCTGCCGTTGTTAAGTTAGTCACGTGGTCGGTAAACGAATTGGGCTTCCCCCTTGACTTTGCTCGTCAAAAGGTCGCAAAAGGAGGATCACGACCGTCATGAAACGAAGCAGTGGCCAAGCCTTTGAAATTTGAACATGTGACCACGGGGACCAGTTGCAATGGCCGTCAGTGTGAAAAACGGTCATAAGTCAGTGCTGTCGTAACTTCAAATGGTCATTGAACAAAAGGTTGTAAGCCGAGAACTCTCTGTACCCAAGAATCTAATCAATTAATAGTCAGCACTAAATTGATAAGGGTCTGAACGGAATTCGAGGGAGGCTGAACTTGGATCTCTTGTGGCAACACGGGGATGCTGCACTGATGACGCCTTCAACCCTGCCCTCCAAGCTCCGCCGGGTATTCTTCCACAGTCCCTTCCTCTCCCTCTTTGGCCAGTGTCTCAGCAAAGCCCACTTCATCCCTCACATCGGGACCGGAGAAGAAAGCTTCCAGACCTACCAGCTTCTGGTGCAGGCCATGGATGAGATCGAGAGGAAGACCTTCCACGAGTGGACCCAAGGCTTGGACAAGGACAGCTTGAAGCGTCTGGATACCCCTCTCCTCATCCCGAGTGCCGAGATGCCGGGCATGTTGGACATCAATTTTGACAAGTGAGTGAAAAAGGGAAGAACCGGAGAAGACCTTGTTGCCCTGGTGTTCTACCCTCGTCTCATGGGTCCTTCCATGCTCCCTTCTTCCTTCTCCTTCTTCTCTTCCTTCCTTCTCCTTTTCCTTCCTTCTCCTCTTTCTCGCTCTCCTCCTTCTTCCTTCTCTTTCTCCTCCTTCCTTCTCCTTCTCCTCTTCCTCCTTCTCCCTCTCCTTCTTCCTTCTCCTTCTTTCTTCTACTCTTCCTCCTCCCCCCTCTCTTTCTTCCTTCTCCTCTTCTTCCTCCTCCTTCTGTCTCCTTCTGCTTCCCTTTCTTCCTTCTCCTTCTCCCCTCCTTGTCCCTTCTCCTTCTCCTCCTTCCTCCTCCTTCTTCTCTTTCTCCTCCTCCAGGCACCTGCTAAAGTTATTTGTGGAAATCCACTACTGGGAGAGAGTGCTATTCGAGATCCCGCATTACGTGGTGGAGGTGTACGAACGGAAGGAAGACCTGAGGAACCTGAGGGAGAACCTCCTGCTGGTGGCCATAGACTACAACAGGTTAGTAGCTCTGCGTCTCCCAGGAAGTTTGGAAGGTCCTCACGGCCTCCTCTTGATTTCTGTTCTGCTGTTATGGGGTCTGTAATCCCTGTCCGATCTTGTGGGAGGGTAGACATCTACCTCAACTGGCTCAAGTGGATCCCATTTATGATGGTTGCAGTGTCCTGGGGTTAATGGGATTCCCCTTTGGCGACCTTCTGAAAGTCAGTGAGAAACCCAGGATCCACTTAACGACGGTGTTCCTGCCATGATTCACTCGCCTACTTCCTCCCAAACAAGAGGACCTTAGATCAGTCCACATAATGCAGACAATCTAGGCGGGCTCACAACCTTGGCGGGTGGGGGGAGAGACCAACAGAATAACTGAATTGGAACGCCTCCTAGTTCAGTGACGGCTAAACCCAGGGGTGGGATTCTACCAGTTCGCACCTATTCGCTAGAACCGGTTGTTAACATTCTAAGCAGTTCGGAGAACTGGTTGTTAGAAGAAATTACTGGCCTAATCCTGTAAGGAAGGCAGGAAGGAAACATTCTGGTGTTGCTGACAGAAACTGCCTCTCTTGTTAACCCTTATTACATTCTTGGCAGGACTAGACTTCCTGTCTCTGGAACTTCTCTGGAGTTTTTTTTTTCCTCCTTTGCTTGTGTGGAGGGACCCTTCAAAGTTACAATGGCACTGAAAAAAGTGACTTATGACCATTTTTCACACTTACGACTGTTGCAGCATCCCCACAGTCACGAGAGGCCAGGCGAGGAGATGTGTGCCTCCATGTGAATGATGTTGAGTTGGCCACGCCCAGCCAGTCACAGGACCACCAAACCACGTCCACCAACTAAGCCACGCCCACAGAACCGGTTGTTAAAACATTTGAATCCCACCCCTGGCTAAACCTTTCTGTCATCCTGTGCCGAAAGCGCATGCGTGGGCAGGCGACAGTGTGCATGTGTGTCTGCACCCCTGATGCAATGTCCCCATGGCTACTCCTTGCCCCACCCCTGCACATGCGCACGCGACCCCCCCCCCCCCCCCGCCATGCTCCCCTGCGCATACATGCGCAACCCCTGCCCACGCCCCGTTTTGGGCCTAGTAGGCCTCCCTGCAGCCTCCTGGGAGCAAAAACGGGCAGCGTGTGTGTGTGTGTGTGTGTGTGTGTGGTGCACCCCCCGCCCCCCTCCCCCACGTGGCCTGTTTTTGCTCCCAGGAAGCTGCAGGGAGGCCTACTAGGCCCAAAACAGGGAATGTGGAACGGGCATATGCCTTAAACGTTGTGCATACACGCGCCCTCCCCCCCCCACACGCATGCACTGCAGAGAGGGAGGGGCTCCATGTGCCACCTGTGGCAACGCGTGCCATAGGTTCGCCATCACGGTATCTAGCCCAACACGCGCACACACACAAACACACAACCCGCTCCAGCAGGAGACCCAGAAGGAGGGCAATACCCCAAATCAGAGAGGGAAGGGCGTCTTCCTCCAGGAGAGGCCAGGGGGAGGGGAGGCCATTTCAACTGACTCCTGGGAGATGCTCCTTGTGGAGGTGGGTTTGGCAAGGAGGGATCCCTGGTTTTTCGTTTTCCTCCTGGAAGCGTGTTGGCTCCGCCGAGGAAGCGTGGCTTGCAACGAGCTTTCTCTTGGCAGCTGTGTTTTTTTTCGGTCGGGACTGAAGCTTGTCTTTTGCGCCTGTTTTATTTTCTCTCCTCAGACGTTAATTTGGGGTGGGGGGGAGAGATGGGCAGGATGCGGGCGGCCTGCTTTCATCCAATGTGCAGATTTCACTCAGGAAGGACGGACGCAGGCCTGGGCCTTCCTGTTACCGTCACCCGTATCCCACATGGTTAGGGCCAGGGAGGGAGGGAGGGACTGGGAGTAATGGGTCTGTAGGCTAATATGTTACCAAGGCACGGAAGAGGGAAGGATGGAGGGTCTAAGACAGGGCTTCTCAATGTTGGGCACTTTAAGACATGTGGACTTCAACTCCCAGAGTTTCACGCTTAAAATGGGTGGACTTCCATCTCCCAGAATTCCATGCTTAAGAT